CCGCTCTTCTGCTGAAGTTGGCTTCTGCCTCTCAGCTCACCAGCAAGGCTCCTGCCCCGTTCTTTCCTTGGTAGTGGGATTGACATTCTAGGATGTTTCATTAAACTGAAGCCACACTGGGGAGAAAAATAGGCATGTGGGTAGCCCCAGACCTCCCCTCTACATATTTCCCTTTCTGAATGCTGCGAATCAGCGAATCCTGATGTCAGCTCCTTGTCATTAAAGAAGATACTAGGAAGGGAGGAGAAGAGCCAGTTCCCTCTTCCTCAATGATCGTCTACATTTTTGTTCTCACCCACATACCGTGAGGTCAGCGCAGGCTCCTGGGGGTGATTTTATCATGTAGCTGTGCCCAGACGCCATGTGGAGAGTACAGATATGTTCAGATTGCATGAACGATGTTAGGGGAATGGGATGTCTACAGAGAGAACCCAGGGGACCGCCTACTTCCAGCCCCTGGTTGTCATGGGGGCATCATTTTACCTAGAAAACAAAGAAATTTCCTCCAAGAGCTAGCAATTTGCTAGTCGATATTCCTGGCGACTTTTTGCATTAAGTGAGACTCTAAATCAAATATTGATGTTCTCATAAAGGGTTAGTGCTGATAGGAGCAACCCTGGTAGGCTCAAAGCATTTCATGGGAGTCACGGGGAAAAGTTCAGTCAAACCGGTAAATTAGGTGATTTTCCCTCCACAGAGGGCTCGTTTCTTTAAAAAGGAGGTGAATCTTATCCAGGGGCACTACCCAGTCTCTGGGACAAGAGGCTGGCCCCAGGCTCAGGGCCAGATGTAGTGTCTACTCCAGGAGTCTCCAGCTTGGCTTCCTGAGGAAGCATGGTCTTTGCTGCCTGGTGTCTGAATCCAGCCAGCAAGCTGTTCTCTCCACCCGGGCTGCATTTTTATTTATTCATTTAGTTTTTTTTTTAGAGGTATTTTCCCTATAGGGCACGTGTGCTCGCCAGACAGACAGAGACATAGAGACAGAAAGTGAGAAATCACCCCCAAAGGGGGATGGCCACGCCACAATCCTTTCCCCTCCATTCTCCTCTTGGGATCTTGGGCATACACACACATGCACCTAGCATGAGTTTTAAGCCACCGGGTCCGGGATGCGAACCACAGTCGGCTACGTGGGAGTCCAGCGACATAGCCATTACGCTAACTGCTGGTCCTATTTATTCATTTAGTTTTATTTAAACATTTTTTTATAGAGAGTTTTGCTGTAGGGCGCATGGGTTAGCTAGGGAGACCGAGTGACAGAGAGACAGAAAGCAAGAAATCACCCCCCAGGGAGATGGCCACACTGCAATCCCTTCTCCTCCATTCTCCTCTTGGGATTTTGGGCACACATGCACACGCACCCAATGTGAATTTCAAACCGCCAGGTCTGGGACTCAAACCGTGCTTGACTACATGGGAGTCCAGCGATGTAACCATTATGCCATCTGCTGGCCCTGTATTTATTTACTTCTAGACTGGATCTCACTACAACACCGTCCGCCTCAGCCTCTGCTGGGATTGTAGGTGCATGTCATTGGGCTGTGCTTTTAGGATGGTCCGAAAATTGACCCCGGACCTCCCACGTGGCTTCACCCTGTTGACTAGCAGTGTCTACCAGTGCATGTACTAGGGTGGCTGGGTCTGAATTCTAGGAAAAAACCCTTCATTTTGAAATATAGTAGATTTGTAGAGAAGTTGCAAAGATAGTAAAGAGAATTCCCCTATATCCCTCCCCTAATTGCAGTGACCCAGATAACATGGACCATGGACATTTGTCAAAACTGAGACATTGGAGCTGGCAGGTGGTGTGATGCTTAAGGGTGCTGGACTCCCATATGGCAGACTGTGGTTCAAGTCCCAGATCTGGCGGCTTGCTTTCTCACTTTCCCTCTCTCTTTTTCTCTTGTTCCGTCTGTCTCTGGTCAAATTAAAAAATAAGTAAAGAAATTAATATAGTTAAATAAAATAATTCTTAATTAAAAAATGAAAACAGAGACATCGACACTGACATTACTATGAACTGTTCTCTAGACTCGATGGGATTTCACCAGCTTCCGCACTAATGGCCTTGTCCTCTCCAAGATCTGGTCTGAGTTACCACGTTCCATTTAACCGGCCGGTTGCCTTGGTCTCCTCTGGTCTGGGACAGTTTCTCAGATTTTGCTTGTTCATGACCTTGGTAGTTTTAAGACAAAGCGGGCAGGTATTTGATAGAACATCTCTCCATTTCGGTTTGGTTCTTATGATTATGGGTCTTTGGGTCTTTGGAAAGAATACCTCGGAAGCGGAGGATGCACTACTTGTGCATCATTTTGGTGGGCACGTGACCTCCACGTGACATCACCGCTGATGCCGACCTTGACCACTGGGTCATGGTTGCGTTTTCTGTTTCTTTTCTCTGCAAGTTCCTCTATTTCCCTTTCTGTATCCTGTTCTTTGGAAGTCAGTCACTAAGCCCCCCAGTCCACAGCTTTTTTTTTTTTTTTTTTTTAGAAACAACTTTATAGATTCTTACACAAGAATCTAAACATATTCAAGAAAAACACATGCAGAGCACCCAAATTTCCAGAAAAGTAGACCCCAGCCCTTCTATTTTGCTCTGAGAAAAAAGAACAGAAAAAAGAAAAAAACGATTCCTTCTTGTTTTTTTTTGTTTTGTTTTTGTTTTTGTTAGGTTTTTGCCACAGAGCACACGCACTCATAGGAAAGAGATGGAGATAGAGGGAAGGTGAGAAATCACCCCCGCAAGAGAGATGGCCACATCACAATCCCCTCTCCTCCCCTCTCCTCTCAGGATTTTGGGTATGCACGCACACAGGCACACACATGTAGCTGGCATGATATTCAAGCCACTGGGTCTGGGACTTGAACCATGGCCAGTCATATAGAAGGCCAGCGTCTTAACCACCACGTCACCTGCTGGCCCCTCCTTCTTGTTCTTCATTGCGTCCACCTATGCGGTCAGTTTTTCCAGCAGAGTTTCTATTCCTTTGCTAGGATTTTTGTTTTATTCCAATGTGGGAATCAGGCAATCAGGCAATTTCCTGGTCAGGACTCTGGAGAAGGCTAGAAAGTATACTGGCACCTCGATTTATATGAAGCCCAGGACTTCAGGTTCTTCATACCCGCATGCTCTACAAGTGTTTTTGCAAAACAACCTCCTCTCCATGTTCTCCCATCTCTTTATCTTGTTCTATTAACCCCTTCAGTACTAGATGTCCTGCAGGATGTTCTGCAACATGAAGCTCTCCTTCCCTGCCTCCGGGGTGCAGTTCTGCTGCTGCCAAGCTGGCGATGGCATCCATGGCAGGGCAGGCTGGACGTCCCCGGTGGCAGATCCCAGCACGTTGGCCACCAACGCACAGAAAGACTTATCTAGCACCATGTCTTGGGCATGTCCTTGCAGGTAGCTTAACAAAGCTGCAGAAATGGATTCTAACACCTCACGTCGGTGGATTTCTGTGTCTTACTGTGTGCATTTCCATTTCCTATAGAACGTCAATGATTTCTCAGACTGTGTGTGCAGGGTCTCTGGGGCTTAGGAGATAACCAGGACCTTCCTTCCGTATTTGTCAACTACTATGTGAGGTAAAGAACTGATCATTTCTGATATGATTATTTCACAAGCTTAGCATCGTCCATACAGTCGAATGCCGCCAGTAAAACCAAATGAGAGTATTGGCCGTTAACTACCTTTTCTAAATAAGTCTTCGCTGTTTCCACAATTACTTTCCTGTCCTAGGGTGTACCATGCCACAGGCAGAGCATGGCCACTCTGGCGCCATCGTGTGTGTGTGCCAGGTACATCACTGCTTCAGGATGGTTTCAATCAGTTCTGGTCTGAGTTTTGGGGGTGCATAGGTAAAAATGTCCAAGAATACTTTACGTACCAGTGAGTGCTTAATCACAGCTTCTTTCTGGGCCATTGGAGTTAGAATTTGCTTCACTTCATCTAATTTTTCAGGCTTTGCCTCTAACACTTTATCCAGAGTTGGGTGAGCTGCTGTCTTGTAAAGCTGGAGTGTTTTTCCATAGGGCTCCTCTGTTAGCACGTTCCTCTTTCCAGGACGGCTTTGTCATTGTAGGCGTTCCGCATACTTCTGTGTGTCACAGCATCTTCCGCATGTGGCCTTTAAAACTTCTGATTATCTCTGCACTCGGTGGTTTACATCCATACATGAGAAATTTCTTGACAATGTTTCTGGAGTATTTGGCTTTACTTAACTCGACCAAATCACCTCGCAATTCTTCGAAAGCCTGTTTCCTCTGTTCTTCAGCACCGTACTGAATGTAACACTGGATCACCCGAGTTGGATTGTGCGCAAATGCAATAGTTGTAATTTTTCCTTCAATCAATTTCTGTAAATCATTTATCAACTTTACTCTCTTTTCTCTTTCCTTCTTAAAATCTCCCAAATCTGTTTGGATTGAGTGACAATGTCATAAAGTTCTTTGATGTGATTTTTAGGTCCACCTTCCTTAACAACTTTCCTTGGGAATGTCTTTGAAGAGCCAGAGTCACTATTTTTATGGAATCTCTTTTTTCTTGTGGTGCTTTTGTATTCCTTCCTGTTAATAATTTTTTTTGGCTTTGACTTCCATTGTGTTAGCTTGCACATGTGGGGCTGAAGTCAGAGCTAGAAGCAGATCTTCAATCCACCTCTTTTAAATCCCCAATAGTTGATATTTAAAAAAATTTTTTTTGGTCAGTTTTTCCAGAAGGCACGTGCGCTCACCAGAGAGAGGGAGAGGAAGAGGGAGAAAGCATCCCCGATGGGGCCTGGTCATGCTGCAGTCTTGTCCCTCTTTCTCCTTCCTGTTGGGATCTCGAGCGTGCATGCACATACACCTGGCATGTCTTCCAGGCCGCCAGGCCAGGATTTGAACTGTGTAGTTCGCCATGTGGGATCTAGCTCCCTGAACCACCAGGCTTGCCCTAAAAATTTAAGACATTTTAAAGATACAAGTTCGGTATTCCATGTGGCAGCTGCTCCTTGCAGTGAGAAGCAACCTCCCGGTTACCACAGGCCCACTCTGCCCTCCTCACTCCTTTCAGTCCCTCACCTGCCCCTGAAGGCACTTGAGTTGAAGACTCCTGCCCCAGAATACCTTCCCTACCCCTGCAGCATCTTGTAGATGGCTGGTTAGGTAGAACTTTCCACTGATGCAAGATGTTTACTTTTAGAGGTTTTTGCCATAGGGCACATGCACTCACAGGAGAGAGAGAGACAAAGACAGTGAGAAATTACCTCCCTTGGGGTGGGGGCGGGGGTAATGGCCATGCTGCAATCCCGTCTCCTCTATTCTTCTCCTCGATTCTCCTCCTGGGATCTTGAGCACACATGCATATGTGCCTGGTGTAATTTCTTTTTCTTTCTTCATGTCTTAAGAGTTATTTGTTTATTTAATTAGTTTGTTGTTATTATTATTATTTAATTTAACCAGAGAGAGAGAGAGAGAGTAAGGTAGAGAGAGAGAGAGAGAAAGGGAATGCAAGAAAGCAAGCCACCAGGTCCAGGACTTGAACCTTGGTCAGCCATGTGGGAATGCGGTGCCTTTAACCACCATGCCACCTGTCAGTCCCCAGCATGGCATGATTTCTAAGCCACCAGGTCCAGGACTCAAACTGACCATGTGGAGTCCAGCGATGCAACCACTGTGCCATCTGCTGGCCCCGATACAAGATCTCAAAGTCCCAAGATAATGTGCCTTCACTTTGGCAATAGATTTATATTTTAAATATAATGTTTGTGCCCTTCTTGAGCAGCAGAGAGACAAACGGTATGCTACATTCCATCTGTGATTTATCACCATTCAGCTTGGAGGGGATGTTATGTAACACACTGCTCCAAGAGAGAGACCCTCCTTACCTGTCCCTGGGGTCCTTTCACCATGGAGTCCACGGCAGTTTCCCAAGTCCGGGGGCAAGGAGCATATCAGCCGCCCGATGGAGGAACCTCAGCCTCCCCCTGACCTGGTTGTTCTCAGAAATGCATTCGCTTCCCAGCCCTCTCCTGGGGGTGAGAGAGATTTTTATGGGAAGGGCAGGAGCCCTCTCCCAAATTCTTGGAGAGGCTTTTGACCAGCATAGCCCAGGTGAGATGAGGTAAATGCATCATTTGCATCTGTAAGTGCAGCGCTAAGGGAAGGGCATGGTTGGGTGTCAATTATCTGAGCCAAATGGGCCAAAGACCACATAAACCTTTGCCCTCTGTGAGGCCTGGGAGCAGGGGGGAGTTGAGCCTCTCCTGCCTCCCTGGCTGATGTGCCCACTCATCATGACAGCAGACGGGCTCTCAGCGAGAACCCAGAGCGTCATCTGTGAACAAGGCCCCACTAATTGAACCCTTCCTTGCATTCTAGGTGGGGCCGTCGGGGGTCTATTAGGTGCCTGGATGACAAGTGGACAGTTCAAGCCAATCCCTCAGATCTTAATGGAGCTGCCGCCTGCCGAGCAGCAGAAGCTCTTTAACGAAGCCACTGCCATCATTAGGCACCTGGAGTGGACAGACGCCGTGCAGCTGACCGCGCTGATTATGGGCAGCGAGGCCCTGCAGCAGCAGCTGCTGGGGATGCTGGTGAATTATGTCACCAAGGAGCTGCGGGCCGAGGTTCGGTACGAGGACTAGGCCACGCCTCCACGGGTGCGGGTTTCCTGTAGGTGATTCCGTGATCTCTGCTGTGACTGCGGAGTCGGGGGAGGCCCAGTGGGTTCTCTGAGAAATCCACACGTCTCAGTGTCCTACCTAAACTGGAGCCAGGTCACCTGCCGGAGAGGCGCCTGTGCTGCACCGCGTGCTGGAAGTCGTTCATGAAGACGTTGTGTTTCTCTGATCGTGTGCACTCATGTGTACCCACAGCCCTTCAACTGGAAGCCGGTGAAAAGCAAAGGCTTGCTGGGTGCAGGCGTCAGGGAAGCCTTGGCCTGTTGGGGTCTGGAGGAAAGTTCTGCCCAGCTCACTGTCCCACCACACGGCATTCTCCTCCTTCAGGGCCTTCTGGGCTTGTAAGAGGACTTTTCTGTGCAGGACTGAGGACCCCCCTTCTCCCTGGCAGAGTTTCAGGGCCTCAGAACCAGCTGGAATCATGTTGCCTCCTACATGTGCCCTTGCCCACCCAGTAACTTCTCTGTGACCTCAGGGAGGGGGAGTGTCAGCCTGCTGGTGAAGCTACAGACCCTAAGTGCACTCGGCCCCTTCTCCCTGTAGCCACACCCCAAGGTTCGCCCCTTTCTGGGGTCCTGCTTTCCCCAACTGAAAAGTCATGGTAGTTTTAGAGTTATGCTTTTTAAATGACTTTTTTTTTTTTTCAGGAAAAACATTGCTCTTTCTGAAGTGGTGGGATTGTAAACTACCTCTAAGAAATGTTTCTGCCCTCAAAGTTCCCTGAACACTGTATTTATTTTCTTTCAGAGTTATAGCTTGAGGGCCCAGCAGGAGGCGCAGCGGTGGCAGAACCCTCTATGTGATGCAGGTCCCACATAGAAAGTCCCAAGGTCATGTCCCGGGACTTCCCTCTGCATTCAGGACTTGCACACCTGTGGGTCTGTGGTCCGGGCTGGCTGAGGCTGGGTGGGACATGGCGTGAGGACTTTGTTGGCTATGTGCCCCCCCCACTGGAAGAAGTAAATGAATAAACAAAATAAAACACTACATCTCAAGTAAATGTCATCAAATTACAATATTTTTTTCCCTAAAAAGTCGTTTACCCATGAATTTTGTGTAAAGCATGTCTAACATCCAAAGTCTTACACGTGAACAAAAGGGAGAGTACCAGATCTGTGGCTCTAAAGAAGGAGAGACATGAGGCCAGCAGGTGGCGTGTTGATTAAGGGCACTGGACTCCCACATGGGCCAACCGTGGTTCGAGTTCCGGACATGGTGACTGGCTTTCTCACTTTCTCCCTCTCTTGCTCTGCCCCTCTCTGGTCAAATTAAAATAAAGTTTATTTAAATAACATAATTCTTAAAGAATGAAATACAGTGGGGCCAGCAGGTTTGCATGGTGGTTAAGATGCCTGGTTCTCACATAACCTACCTATCTACTGGTTCAATTCCCAGACCCAGAAGCTTAAAAAGCATGTCAGGCATGTGTGTGTCCAGAATCCCAAAAGAATGGAGAAGGGATTATGGCATGCTCATCCACTCCATGCCTGCAGGGGGTGTGGGCTGGGACTTTCTTGTTTTCTCTCTGTCTCTCCTGAGAGCTCACCAGCCTTGTATCAACTTAAAAAAAAAAAAAAAAAAAGGATTTGAGATGGGTCAAGGTTAGCCCCCTGGGTTTCTGAGTACATGGAAGAGGGGAAGAACTTTTCCATAGTCCTCTTTAATATCTTAATCATATAACTGTAATAATAAAACCAATGCATAATCACACTAATGCAATATCTCACAATAATAAAGTACTGTGCCTTGGCTTTTATGTTCCCTGCCCCTTTGCACCCTCCCAAGAGGCTTGCCACCTCACCTGGCCCTGAAGTCTGACCCCCCCCCTCCCCTGGAAGGAGCCAAAGCATCTCCTCTCACAGCCCAGCCCAGCCTTGCTAGAGCAAGGGGGAAGCAGCCTTTGGGCTGGGGCTGCATGGGAGGCCGACTGGGCTCGGATCAGGGGCCGACCTCAACAGGCCACAGGCTGGGGCAGAGGACCCAATATGCTGAGACCCTGTCAAATGTCCCCTCTGGGGGCCAGCAGGTGGCGGAGTGAAATGGCTGGACTCCCACTCCCACGTGGCTGACTGCCTTTGGAGTTCCAGGATCTGGTGGCTTGAAACTCCCCAGAAATGTGTGCCTGTGTGCCCAAAATCCTCAGAGGAGAATGGAGGACAAGGGATTGTGGCATAGCCATCCCTCCTAGGAGGTTATTTCTCACTTTCTCTTGCTTTCCGTCTACAGGGGGTGAGCCCATGCACCCTATAGCAAAAGTCTCTCACTCTAAAACACACAAACACAAACCCTGTGTGTCTCTCATTTAAAAACCAAACAAAACGAACCCCCAGACCCAGGCGCCCTGTGCGGTGTCAGCTGATACCGGCCCACGCAGTAACAGCGCTCTGGACCTCCAGATGCACCTCTGGGGAACCATGGGGGTCCTCGGGCGCAGAGACTGAGATCCTCAGTCAAGGGTCAAGGGCCCAGAGGTTCTCCCAGGAGGCCCGCAGGCTGTAGGAAGGTTCCCTGGAGCCCAGCTCTAAAATCCATGCACTGTGGGGTGGGACAGCGCGCAAGCCAAAGTGGCGTGGCCACTGGGACTCATCTCAGGGGTGGTGACCGGGTCAGAGAAGACACAAGCCAGGGCAGCCCGGGTCCTGTCCTGCTGGGCCCAGCTTCCGGCTCCGTTGGCCACAACCATGTGCCAGTCAACCTTGAAGACCCTGCCAAACCTGAAGGCGGAAGGACGGATCCAGTGGGCCTTGCTGCTGTTGCCACGCCCTGCACGACCATTGGCCAGGGAGCAGAAGCTGGAGACAGAGCCTGGAGCTGAAGGCCGGAGAGGGCTGCACATGAGCCCGGAGCCCAGGCCGGACTGTGATCGCGGTGTGAGCAGCTCAGGCCTGGATGCAAAGGCAAGCCTGAGTCTACCCGCAGGAGTGGCGGGTAGGGTCCAGCAAGGGAGATGATGACCAAACATGCCCGCCAGAATACCTCAGAAGGCTGGGACTCCGTGTCCTCCCAGGAGCCTGACCCTCAGGTGCTGGTGTGGACACTGTTAGGGCATTCATTTTCCATAAGAAGGAACTGAGGCACGGAGTAGCCAAAGTACCACCAGTAGGCACAGCACTAGAGTTAGAGCTGGGATGGCCAAGCCCTGGCCTGGCCTGGCCTGGAGGTGGTCCTGCAGCACTGCCTCGCGCTGCGTGTGTGTGTGTGTGTGTGTGTGTGGGTGTGTGTGTGTGTGGGTGTGTGTGTGTGTGGGTGTGTGTGTGTGTGGGTGTGTGTGTGTGTGGGTGTGTGTGTGTGTGGGTGTGTGTGTGTGTGGGTGTGTGTGTGTGTGTGTGTGCTGGGTGTGTGTGTGGGATGTTTATACATACAAAGCGGAATCTCAGCAGAATTCCTGAGGGGAGTGCATCCGGCCTTTGTTCTGTGGGGAGAGGATCGGGGCGCTAGTGTAAAAATGATCAAGAAGGGTGCTCATGATTTTGGAGATTAGTTTTGGTGCGGGAAATAGCTTCCCTAGCCTTTTACAAAAGGAATAGGGGTACTGGGAGAGGTGGTGAGGTGGCCTGTTGATAGGCCAGGTAGGTGCACCTTTAAGCACCTGTGGGTGCTTAAAGATGTGGACCAGCAGTTGTAATGGCTATGTCGGTGGACTCCCATGTAGTCGACTGCAGTTTGAGTCTTGGACCCAGTGGCTTAAACTCATACCGGGCATGTGTGCGTGCATGCCCAAGATCCTGAGAGGAGAATGGAGGAGAAGGGATTGTGGTTTGGCCGGGCCCGCCCGGGGTTGATTTCTCGCTTTTTGTCTCTCTGTCTTTCTTGCGAGGAGCACGCGCTCTATGAATAAACCTCTCAAAAAAAAAAAAAAAAGAAAAAAAAAAAGGGAACCAGCAGTTAGCGTAATGGCTATGTCACTGGACTCCCACGTAGTTGACTGTGGTTCACGTCCTAGACCCGGTGGCTTAAAACTCACACCAGGCGCGTGTGCGTGCGTGCCCAAGATCCCAAGAGGAGAATGGAGGAGAAGGGATTGCGGCGTGATCATCCCCTCTGGGGGGGGGGGATTTCTCGCTTTCTGTCTCTGTCTCTCTCTGTCTGTCTGGTGAGCGCACGCGCCCTATAGTGAAAACCTCTCAAAAAAAAAAAAAAAAAGAAAGAAAGGAAGTACTGAGAATTCTAAAATGCGATCACTCTGAATTTTAAGAGACTTCCTTTTCCCATTAGTATTTAATTAATTAATTAATTTAGGTTTTTGCCAAAGGTGTGTGATCTTACTAGGGAGAGAGAGAAACAGAGAGAGGGAAGGTGAGAAATTACCACCCAGGGGAAATGGCCACACTGCAGTCCCTTCTCCAGTCTCCTCCTGGGAGTGTAGGCGTGCACATACACACATGCAGTGTGATTTTCAAGCTGTTGGGTCCAGGACTCAAACTGTGGTCAGCCACGAGGGAGTCCAACACCTTAACCAATAACAACATCGGCTGGCCCTAGTATCATTTTTTTAAGAACAAGGCATGGGAACAGCAGATGGCATAATGGTTACGTAGCTGAGCTCCCAGGTAGTTGACTGTAATTCAAATCTGGGACCCACCATCCTGGACCTGGCTGCTTAAAACTCACACCGTGTGTGTGTATGTGTGCTCCAAACCCGGAGAAGAGAATGGAGGAGAAGGGACTGCAGTGTGGCCATCAGCCCAGGGGATGATTTCCCACTTTCTGTCTCTCTCTGTCTCTCTGCTGAGCACATGTGCCCTGTAGCAAAAATCTCAAAAACAAAAACAAAAAATAACCAACAACAAAAAATACACCAGGATCTATGAAGGTCTCTGTTAGCTCTGAAGCCCTCCTTACAACCTCGTCCAATCAGGAGACTAGGCTGCTGTCACTGAAGGGCTTCTCTCCGCCTGTCTGCACCTCCCGGGCCAGCGTGAGTGCTTACAGGAAACCAGGGCTCCAGGGTGGGTCCTATATCCAAATGCAGTCGTATTGGCAGTTAGGATTCAACCTCTGAATGTTAGCAGTTCAGTCCATAATGAAAGGTTTCTGGAAAGAGGTTATGTTTCTAATTTTTTAAACAATGACAGGGAAATATTATCTAAGAGAAAAACACAAGTTTGAGGAATAATACATGTGACCAATGGGAGATTTGCTGTTCTAAGAGTGCTATTCAATCTCTTTATCACACATGAAAGAAACTGGAATTCTGGAAGCTAAGACCTATCCTAATCAGAACGTATCTGAAGAAATGCAGCCACAATTTTTAAGAGCGACATTTTGTCAAGAGAGAATTCACTTTTCCCATAATTCCTGGATAAATATATTCAGAAGTTTGATGTCTAACTCTGACAGGATATATTTCTGAAACTCAATTACATATGCCTGGGAAAGCTGAAAACCCTGGAAGCAGCTTTTGCACAGTGGTGCCCCAGTAATCCCTGTGCCTTTTGACTTAAGTCATCCATGGCAGTTTGGAAGCTGTCTCTTTATTTTGTTTTGAATAGACACAACAAGGTGAAGTAGGTTTATATCTCTTTCCTGTCTTTTTGTGTGTGTGTGTGTGAGAATTTTGCTATAGGACATGTGCACGTGCCGGACAGACAGATAGAGACAGAGAGATAGAAAGCCAGAAATCACACCTCCAAACTCCAGGGGGGAAGGCCATGCCGCAATTTCTTCTCCTCCATTCTCCTCCTAGGGTCTTGGACACGCACGCACGTGCTCCCAGCGTGAGTTTTAAGTTGCCTTGTGTGTGTGTGTGTGAGAATTTTGCTATAGGACATGTGCACGTGCCGGACAGACAGATAGAGACAGAGAGATAGAAAGCCAGAAATCACACCTCCAAACTCCAGGGGGGAAGGCCATGCCGCAATTTCTTCTCCTCCATTCTCCTCCTAGGGTCTTGGACACGCACGCACGTGCTCCCAGCGTGAGTTTTAAGTTGCCGGGTCCGGGATTCAAACTGCTTTGGACTAAGTGGGAGTCCAGTGATATAACAACC